GTCGTTATAGTCTTTTTGGTAATTTATCTGTTTGTTCAAAATTTTCGCATCTAAGCCGTACTGATCCTGTTTTTTAAGGTTGCTTATTTATATGATCGCTGCATGATTTTTGCTTTATCTCGTCAAACTCATTTTTAGGTCATGCTAGGACTTTTGCCTGGAGCGGGAGGAACCCAAAGAATAATGAAGCTGGTGGCCCTTCCGAATGCATTGGATATGATGCTGACTGGGAAGAGATTGAAAGCTGACAAGGTGGGTTGAGTTACCCATTTCGCTTGCTTGCGGTTTTTTGCTTTTCCTTCTCTCTATTTGTGCAGTCTTGATGTTTCTATATATGGCAAAACCTTCAAACTGAATAGATGTAGTATCTCCATTATCACTGAACTAGTTTATTACAGGCAAAGAAAATCGGACTTGTAGACTCCGTTGTTCACCCTATTGGTCCGGGTGTAAAACCGGAGCCGATGAATACCCACCAGTAAGCCTTTTAAAAATTGTCTTTTTCGCCATTATTGTGCTTTTAGATACCTAGAGAACGTAGCCGTAGATACGGCTGAGCAACTGGCTAGTGGAGCGCTGAAAGTCAACCGAGAACAACAAATTTGGGAAAAGGGATTATCTAAGGTTGGTCAAATCAATCTCATTCTTTTTGCTAGTTTGGTGTCGATATTCTAGTGGATTTTGATCTAATTGTAAGAGATTAATATGGAAGCTTTGAGCTTTTCAGTTACTGTCATACGAATTTGTAACGGACAAGATCGTCATGAGATATCTCAGAGATAAGGTGAGCTCCTATTTTTTTTACTCGTCTTTATCTGAGGATAGGCTTTTGCTTACTGCTTTACTTACCTCCTATTTAGGTTATAAAGCAAACTGGAGGTCACTATCCAGCTCCACTGAAAATTTTGGAAACCGTGCGCAAAGGTCTAGTACAAGGCGCTACAGAGGGATACTCTCATGAGGCACAGGTAGTTTTTCTAATCATTCTAGCACTTGCTTACAAAGGAAGCGTGTTAAGTCGAAGTGGCCTTTCTGAATGAGATCTGTCTCACCTTGTAGAGCATTGGATGCTGATTCCACATCTGTTTTCCTTATCTGCCAAACGCCTTTGGAGGCCGAGTTATGAGTATTTCTTAGGTCCAAAAATCGAAAAAATTGAAATAAAATTGTCAGGAATGATCGAATGGACAAGTGTTAATTATCAGAG